CGTAAACGTCAGCTGAATGATGACTCAGAGAACGGTGAGAATATAAGCAATGGAAAATCAACAATCGACAAAATTGCATTCGGTTCGGCGGGTGGTTATGATACGGTGAGTGTTGTGTTGTTCATTTTGTATTGGTTTTGGATCGTTGGCACCAATTATTCTTATGATTATTATTAAGGATGTGTATGGAAGTGTTCGTGGTAATCGAAAATCAGATTATTTGACGTCGATCAACACGGGTGATGACGATGATGAGGGGGATGATGACCCTCTAATGGGACCGATGGCCGCTGCTAAGGCAAACTATTCGGCACCAAAGCGCTTTGTCGAGGAAGCTGCCAAACACGCGAATGTTGGTTTTTAAAAATCAAATTTCCCGTTTGAACTGTTGAATATCTTCTTTGAATGTTTTTAATTTCTATTTCGTTTAGTGGTAATTATGTAGTTTGGGTTGCTGAAACCTTCATCAGAGAATATAATTACGAAATTTGCAACCTGAACTGCGTAATTACCGCAAAATTTTTTGTCGAACATTTTGATCTACCTTGTAGATCAAGTTGCTCTGCAGCGAAAATCGCATTTTTGCTCGGGGTTCGGTGAAATTTTAGTTGATTCTGTCGATTGTGGATCGATAAGTGTGAATTGTTTGAGGAGATTGAATTTTCAGGATGATGATCCGTTCGCAGAAACAAGAACAAAAACGATCGCAGAAAGGCAAAGTAACTATCAGGCGAGGGCTCGACACAGACAGATTTCACCCGAACGAGCGGATATGTTCGGTAAGTGTTGTGATTCGATGAGTTTTGTCACCTTTATCGAATTTTGTCGAGTCGAAGTATTTTGTGAGTTCATGATTTTGGTTGTGGTGAGATTCATCGAAGAGATTCATTCATATTACAAGATCATTTGAAGTGATTGATATGAAGATACTGTAGCGATTTGCGTTTTACGCAGAATTCGATTAGTATATTTCTGATTTTGGTGAATGTTTGCAGCTGACCAAACGCCCGACATTCGTGATCGATCGTATGCACAGATTATGAAAGAGCAAATGCTCCGTGAAGAAACGGTATCAATTTTGATGAATATAATTGCAAAGGATTGAGGATGTGTGCATTTTGAAAATGAGTTCAGAGAGTGAAAAGTAATGAGAAAATTAGATGTTAATTACAATTAAGTGTTGATTACCTTAGGTATTAGTTTTAAAAATTTCCATTAATTGAACTTGCATGCACATAAATATTTTTACGTTAACCCATGCAATGTTTCATCACAAAAAGTAGATTGATATTGGAATATATTGTGCAATAATTGTATTATAATGATGACTTCATATAATTTTTGCGAACATTTACGTATTATATAATGTATCAAACTGAGAGTGGGTTTATGTGAATTGTTAGCAGATTATTTTGGTTTTTTTTTGTTTGTTTTGAAGTGATATTTGTTGTGTTCAGAGTAAAGTGGAGAAGGAGTTGGTGGATAAGGCAAAGTCGGGTGAATTGAAAAATAGTGGCTCACAGCAACAGCAACAAGCTACGAAGACATCGGCACCAGTGCAAAAACGAGGAAGATGGGATGAGACGCCGAAAATTGAGGCACTCGGAGCCGGCGCAATGACACCGTCATCACAGACGCCCGGCTCAACCCAGCGAAAACGTTTGGGTATCTCATCGACTATTTCTGCGGCGGCTGAGGTTTGAACGATCGATTGATTGATTGATTGATTTGAAATTGATTAACTTTTCGGGTTTTTATGGTTTTATTTCATAGCTTCATTGTGTGCTTTCGTAATTAATTTTTCACCGGAATAGCGATTCTCTGAAGTTTTGAAACATAAAACTTAAGAAGTTAGTAGTGGATGGGTTTTGGATCAGGGATGATTTGACTCCGGAAGGCAGATGGATTTAGGATGATGCTTTGGTTCATCTAGATTGGTTGTTTTCAGATAGCGACACCAAGAGTGGCACGATGGGACGAAACGCCTGCACACGTGTCAGGAGTGGATGCAACTCCGGTATCTGGAGCAAAAACCTGGGATGCAACGCCAAGCACACAAACACCTCGTCGAAATCGATGGGACGAAACCCCGCGAGGTATGTTTGTAGAAAGGGAAAGGGCATAGAGTAAAACGCAGTCTTTGCGGTCGATTTTCTGCTGAAGTTTTGTGCGGTTGACTCAATTTCTTATGATATTTTGGTTACCTCTCGTATTCTTTAATTGTTCTGTGTGAATGATTTTTCATCCGACTGAACTGATTGATTGATTGATTGAATTGTTTGACTTTGTTCAAGGATAACGAATGAATTTATTTGATTGCCTTTGTGTTTTTGCAGAATCCGTACGTGATGGGATGACACCAGGTGGGATGACTCCAGGCGCAATGACACCGGGATGGGGTGCGGAAACACCGCGAGATACACGATTCACCGATGATGTGAAGGTGCGTAGAATCATTTTGTGGTTTCGATTTGCGTAGTTAAGCACCATAAATTCTTTCGTGTAGACTTGTGAATGAGATATTTTCAACTGATTAATTGTTTTGATTTGTTTGTGATGAGAAGAGANATTTGAATATGAAACATTTCTCGTTTCGTATTTTTAAAAAAAGGAAATCTTTTTGAGAAATTGAATAGTGTTTTCTGTTTTTCAGGTTGAAGAAACACCGAGTGAATCGAAACGTCGTTCGCGATGGGATTTGACACCGTCGGCTGCCACGCCATCTGCGGCCACACCATCTGCAGCCGGTGGGGCCACACCTAGTGCGGCCCAAATGGCTGCCGCAGGCTCCGTGACTCCGTCTGGTTTCACGCCGAGCGCAGCACTCGGCGGAATGACACCGTCAATGATGACTCCGGGTGGAACCACTCCGGTGGGAGCGCTGGCGATGGGTCTCAAAACGCCAGCGATGCCAACCGTACCGATGACACCCGATCAGATGGCGATGTTCAAATGGGAACGTGAAGTGGATGAGAGAAATAGGTGAGGAATAGTCATTGGATTTCTTTTGAATGAGGGAGGGAACCTGATGGTGCAAGGTTTGTTGGTGTTTTGATGCAGTTTTGTGAAATTGAGGAGAAAACATCGATTGAAATGTTGATTTAAAAATGTTTTTGTGGGCAGTAGTAATTTGGTGAATATTGAGCAGTGTTCTGATGGAATTTTGTTCATCTTCAGCTGCGTTTTTGATGGAATTATGTAATGAATGTCTTTAAAGTTGACGGGAATGAGAATGAGGTTTTAAACAATTGAATGGAGTTTTTCTTGAGTGGATTGAATGAGAAAATTGCAAGTTTAGTAATTCTTTAAAGTGAAATAATGTTTTAGACCGTTATCTGACGATGAATTGGATGCGCTATTTCCGCCCGGTTATAAGATTCTTCCACCGCCCAACGGTTATATTCCGATTCGTACACCAGGTCGTAAACTATTGGCAACACCAACGCCGATGGGCGCTGCAGGCACACCGATGGGTTTCACCATGCAGGGAACACCCGAACGGCCGGGGCTCGGCGATAAATGTGGGTGATTTTGAATTTTGAAAGTATCTGGCCTTTTTTTTAGATATTTCATTTGTTTCTCCTATATGTTTTACATTCCATTTTATGTACCATTTTTTAATATTTTATTTTTTATTCCATTTGAAATTGTCTTCAATTTTTTGTATTTGTATTCCATTTCATATTCCATTTTTTTTTGTATTTTACTTATGAAATCGTCTTCATAATAATAACAATAATAATGTCATTCCATTTTTTTGATCTTTATTATTTTCCTTTTCCTTTCTAAACACTGGAAAGAAGTGATCATCAGTGAATGTGTTCTGAAAGAAGGAAGTCTGAAAATTGGTGTACTTCGAGCGATTGAATGTTGGAGTGCTTGAAGGAAATTTGGTTCAACTTTTTGAAATTTCCGAAAAAGTTTTTCGCAAATGTCAACTTGAGTTGTTTCTTTCTCTTCATCATAATACTCATAATCGCATTGTCATCCATCCTTGCATAATCGATTCACGTCGCATTCGATATTCAGCACTCGCCGCGCTGGTCGATACTCAACCGAAAAATGCTGATTTGCCCCCGTTGAAACCCGAGGATATGCAGTACTTCGATAAACTGCTGATGGATGTGGATGAGAGTACGTTGAGCAAAGATGAACTCTGCGAACGTGAAATTATGACGTATCTGTTGAAAATCAAAAACGGCACTCCACCGCAACGCAAGAGTGGCCTTCGGAAGATCACCGAGAACGCACGACGTTTTGGTGCAGGTGCTCTGTTCAATCAGATTCTACCACTGTTGATGTCACCAACACTGGAAGATCAGGAGAGGCATCTTATGGTCAAGGTGAGGCAGGGTTGTGGTTTTGTTTTGTTGTCATTGAGGAAAGCGAGAGAGTTTGGTTTTGAGTTGAGTTGAGTTGATGATAAGATAAAACTGACGATCATACAAACACTGCGATAAATCACTTATTGTTAGGTAATCGATCGTGTGCTGTATAAATTGGANGATTTGGTTCGACCGTACGTCCATAAAATATTGGTGGTCATTGAACCATTGTTGATCGATGAGGACTATTACGCACGAGTGGAGGGACGTGAGATCATCTCGAATCTAGCAAAAGCTGCGGGTTTGTGCTCTTTTTCATTTTTTGTTTTGATTTTTGATTTGTTCTTGTTGTTTTTCTACTGGTTTAGATCGATTGACGTCTAGAAATAGGTTGTTGTAAATTATGAATTACGGATGAAATTCACTGATATCATGCATGATTAGTGGAATGGAATAATTGATATATAAAGAGTTAGTTCTAGTCAGAAATTTGGAATTATTTGATAAAGATTGAAATGAATAATATCCATCGAAATCTATAATTTCAACTGTGATTGAAGGTTTGGCGACGATGATATCAACAATGCGACCGGACATAGACAATGTGGATGAGTATGTTCGTAATACAACGGCACGTGCGTTCGCTGTGGTGGCATCGGCACTGGGCATACCGGCCCTTTTGCCTTTCCTGAAGGCAGTCTGCAAGAGTAAGAAGAGTTGGCAAGCGAGACATACAGGTCGGTTTTTATATTTAGAATAATAATGAGTGATAATAATAATAATGAATTAAGTAATAATTTCACTTGTAATGATCATTGCAATAGTATTTATGATTTGTTCAGTGATTCGTCTAGAAATCGAAGGATTGATTTCAAATTAAGCGAAAAGTTTAATTGTTTGATAGTGCATTTTTGTTGTGAATTTTTGAATGTTTTTCGATTGACAAATGATATTATGTTTTATTTTTATTCAGGAATAAAGATAGTTCAACAGATGGCGATTCTAATGGGATGTGCAGTTTTGCCGCATTTAAGAGCATTGGTGGAGATTGTAGAGACTGGATTGGTGGATGATCAACAGAAGGTTGGTTAATCATATTATAGAGCGAATTCGCTGTTTTGTTTTGATGAACTTCTTATTTGTAGAAGATCATGATAAAGAGATATTAGAAATTATTGTTGCTGTGAAAGTTTAATGAAGAGAAATTTGGTTGATCATCGAAATTTTGAGCGAGTGTTATCGGTTTTGGAGGTATCAGTTGGTAATAGAGCAGTGAGGTGGTTTGAAATTGATGAACAGTTGCGAGTGGTGGTTGAACATTGTGTTTAGGTGCGAACGATCACAGCGTTGTGTCTGGCTGCATTGGCTGAGGCAGCCACACCGTACGGTATCGAGGCGTTCGACTCGGTGCTGAAACCACTCTGGAAAGGTATCAGATCGCATCGAGGAAAGGGTTTAGCGGCCTTCTTGAAGGCAATTGGCTTTCTGATTCCGTTGATGGACGCTGAATACGCGTCGTATTACACTCGGGAAGTGATGCTGATCCTGATTAGAGAGTTCGCATCGCCTGATGAAGAAATGAAGAAGATTGTGTTGAAGGTTGGTCGTTTGTTCATTTCGCTTTTCTTTCATATTTTAAATTTTTTGTTTGTGGGTTACTGATTTTGATGCATTTGTTTGTTTGTTTTGGCTCTTTCGGTGTAAATGAAAGAATTATGGTAATAATGATAGTGATAGTGGTAATATTGGTAGTGATAGTTTTTGTTGCTTACCAGGTGGTGAAGCAGTGCTGTGCAACGGACGGTGTAGAGGCTGCTTATATTCGTGATGAAATTTTGACACATTTCTTCAAAGCATTCTGGAATCATAGAATGGCATTGGACAGACGCAATTATAGACAGTTGGTCGATACAACTGTGGAAATGGCACAAAAGGTGTGAATTTTTTTGGGGGAAAGCGGAATCTTTGTGGTTATTTGTGAAATCTTTGTGAATACTGAAAAAAGTTTTTTTGATACTTCATTTTTGCATTTGTTTTTTGTTTCATTTTGAGGTCGACGGAAATAATTTCATCATTTTGCAGGTTGGATCAGCGGAAATGATAGCGCGTATAGTGGACGATTTGAAAGATGAGAATGAGTTGTATCGTAAAATGGTTATGGAGACGATAGAGAACATAGTGGCGTTGATGGGTGCAAACGATATTGATGCGCGCCTGGAGGAACAGCTCATCGACGGCATCGTTTATGCGTTCCAGGAACAAACTCAGGAGGTGTGTTTACTGGTGTGGTTGTGGTCATAAGAAAGTGACTGTTAGTGTAGTGTTGTGATAACATTAGTGATAAAACAATCATTATTATTACCTTGCGATTACATTGCGAGCTGTGTTCGTTTCAATACAATTTATCACTAATGATCAATGCGTACATTACTATAGTGGCATTAGGGTGGCCATATCTATGAGAACGCAAGTCTATCGAGATCCATGTTTCTCTTTTTTTTGCTGTGCAAACCTTGTCCAGCGTTGACCAAATAGCTTGACAAGTGGTTCATCCCATCTCGTTCGTGATCTATTCAGAGGCCTGTTCACGTTTCTTGGAATCCAATGTGTTATTCAATTGGTCCAGCCATTATTGATCATAACAATAGTAATAGTAATAATAATAATAATAATAATGGTGTAATAATGATAGAAGGCGTGATAATGCTAATGGTAGGACTGAAGAGAATGAATAACAATAGTCATCTCAAAAGTATTTCATGGAAAGAAAAACATTTCATTTGAAATTGGATGTGTATGATAAGTTTGCCGTGGTTTTAGGACGCCGTAATGTTGGATGGATTCGGAACGGTGTGTAAGGGATTGGGACGTCGCACAAAGCCGTATTTACCACAAATTTGTGGTACTATCTTGTGGCGATTAAACAATAAGTCAGCAAAAGTTCGACAACAAGCTGCAGATTTGGTTGGTTGATTGTTTCGATTTTTGGACGCAACCTGTTTTCTATTTGTTTTTTGAGGAGATCGAAAGAGATTATGAGCAGTTTTGATTGCTTTTGGTTTCTTTCTTGAATCATTTTGATGCTTGTTGGAGATGTGAATATGATTATTGTTGTTGTTGTTTTAGATCGCCAAACTAGCGCCAGTAATGAATATTTGTCAAGAAGAGAAACTGATGGGTCATTTGGGTGTTGTTTTGTATGAGTATTTGGGAGAGGAGTATCCCGAGGTGTTGGGCTCGATTTTGGGTGCACTGAAATCGATTGTGAACGTGATTGGTATGACGAAGATGACTCCGCCGATCAAGGATCTGTTGCCGAGACTTACGCCAATCCTCAAAAATCGGTATGTTTTTGATGTTCAGGTGCAAATTTTAATCTTCGGAAAAGAGTTTCTTTTTTGGTTTGAATTCTGGGATTGGGGAGTTAATGTTAATGTTTGATGTTGTGGAACTTTAAGACACGAGAAAGTGCAAGAGAACTGCATCGATTTGGTGGGACGTATTGCGGATCGTGGCAGTGAGTTTGTGTCGGCACGTGAATGGATGCGTATCTGTTTTGAATTGCTCGAGTTGCTAAAGGCACACAAGAAGTCAATTCGACGTGCTGCAATCAACACATTCGGATATATTGCGAAGGTCACTTGATTTGTTCTGAAGGCGAATTTTGACGGAGAATAGAAAGAAGAAGCAAGCACCTTGCGCATTGAATAAGTCAGTTGTTAGGAGGGTTGCTTTGTGCACCTGTACGTTCAGTTCAGTTCAGAAACGAATTGAGGTTTTGCTGAAATGCTCGGAGATAGGTTAATTCTGAAAAGCGCTTGAAGAAGAATTAGAGAGTATGATCAGTGATTTTGCACAATCTGATAAGGCCCCCATTCAGGGTGGTTGATAAGGGCCAATTGCGACATACATATTCGGTTGTTGATGAGATGACGGTGCTTATACAGGTAAGTTTTATTTATGTTTGTTACTATACATTTATTCACTTGAACTGATGAACTGCTATTACGGTTCTTTGGTGGTGGTGATGGTCTATGCGCAACGAGGTGGGTGATCACCGATTGAAGTAATAAGAACGGGATGGATGATTTTGAGATGGTTGGCGGGTTTTTTACTTTTTAGAGAGAGGAAAATATTTTGAGATTGTTGGGCGTTGATGTCACAGAACATAGAGTGGTTGGGGCCATTAAGGTGCCAAGAGATTAGCCGAGAGGAGTTTGCATTTTTCGTTCAGTCAGTCAGTTCATCCCGATCTTGCAAAAAGTTACAAAAATTTCGTTCAGTAGGCATAGGTAGGTTGTTTGCGAAAGAAAAATCAATTGGGAAATCGCTTCGAAAGGTTGAATACCGCCTTATTGAAAGCGACAGTTTGTGTGTCTATTCGTTCGGATGATAACTGTGATGTATCGTGTTTGTTCGTCATCATCAATTTTCCTCCAACTACAAGAAGAACATTCAAAATTTGAAGACGTCAGTGTCAGCAGCAAGTCTTCATAGTGAATGAAAGATTGACCGGGCAGTGAATCGCAATCGTGAACTTGTTGACGAGGAAGAATAAAANATGAGAAGATGGAAAGAAAGTGAATCAAGTGATCTGAATGAAGCGGTGATTGTTGTGTGATGAGCGTTTATGTATATACTCAGTTGTGATGATGGTATTGAATAAAAAATTTTTCGACTGGTGAGATTTGGTGTGAAAAGTAACAAGTGCTAACCCAAAGAACAACGAGAAACATCTAAGAGTATAAGTATAATTTTTTAGTGTAATTTATGCTCATGTGAAGTGATTGTGAAGCGCTAACCAGCTCAGCTCTACAAGCCCAGTGGCGATTGATTGCTTGCTTGAATCGCTCATTGAATGGGCGAAGATCGTCTACGGGTGATGATATATATCTACATAAATATACTATCATATATGCTTCTATTGTTTTGGATTATAATCGATCCGTCTCATTCATTCATTCATTCAGTAGTAATATGAAATTTGCAGATTTTCAGTTTCATTTACAATTAATAGTGATGATAAATTAAAGCGTGTTTTTAATTTATTCATTTCTTATTCTTTTAAACAATTTATTCATTCACATTTATGTTTACTGCACACATATCCATTAGCATTGGCGTTCAATTTTCATCATATACATTTGAAACGTTTGATTATTTAAGATATTTATGGTTTGAGATGTGTAGCTGTCTAGTTGAGATTGGTAGCGATGATTTTGATGATTTCAATAACAATTTTATAATTGATATGAATAATGAATAATAGCTGTGATGAATAGTGATAATAATAATAATAAAAGTGAAAATAATAGAAGTATTAGTAACAATAACAATTGTTTTTCTAATGATTTAAAATT